GCACTCCAGTCTGGGTAACAAGAGCGAAACTACGTCTCAAAAAAAAAAAAAAAAAAGATTGAGTTTCACTTTTTCACCCAGGCTGGAGTGAAGTGGCACCATTTTGACTCACTGCACCCTCCAGCCCTGTGGGTTCAAGTGGTTCTCCTGTCTCAGCCTCCCGAGTAGCTGGGATTATAGGCGTCCACCACCACACCCAGCCAATTTTTTTGGGTTTTTTGTTTGTTTTTTAGTAGAGACAGTGTTTCACCATGTTGGCCTGGCTGATCTTGAACTCCTGACCTCAGGTGATCCACCCACCTCAGCCTCCCAAAGTGCTAGGATTACAGGTGTGAGCCACTGCACTCCGCCATAGAGGGCATTTTTGCTTTGTGAATTAGGGTTCTCCAGAGAAATATAATACACATACATACATACTTGCAGAGAGCGAGAGTGTGTGTGATTTATTTTTAGAAATTGGCTCACAAAATTTTGGAGGATTGGTGAGTCCAAAGTCTGACAGGAGAGCCCAACAGGCTGGAGACATAGGAAAGAATTGAAGTTCAAGTCCAAAGATGGCACACTGAAAAATTCTGACTAGAACAAAAAGGAGAACAGCCTTTTGTTCTATTCAGGCTTTCAATCAGTTGGAACTCCTGGGCTCAAGTGATTCACCCACTTCAGCATCCCAAGTAGCTGGGACTACAGGTGCATACACCATAAACCAGCCGATGTTTTTTTTTCTGGTGATGGAGTCTCACTCTGTCGCCCAGACTGGAGTGTAGTGGTGCAATCTTGGCTCACTGCAACCTCCACCAGCCAGGTTCAAGTGAGTCTCCCACTTCAGCCTCCCTAGTAGCTGGGATTAGAGATGCCCACCACCACACCCGGCTAATTTTTGTATTTTGATAAGAGACGGGGTTTCACCATGTTGGCCAGGCCGGTCTTGAACTACTGGGGTTACAGGCGTGAGCCACCGCACCCGGCCCATTGCAATTTTGAAAAGATTTTATGTATATTATAGGATAGACAAATAGGTAAATATATTAAGAGTGTTAAGAACCAAAACTTTCAGTTGCCCTGATAAAAGATATATAAATACAAAATCAAAGAAGAGGAAAAAATCTATAATGTACAATTTAAATTGGAAATACCAATATGAATTGGTATTCATATTTTTTTTTGTGAGCCAAAGATTGATCTCTTCATTTCTTGTGTTTGAAGGACTCTTCGATGACGTTCTTGGCCTGAGACTCCTTGCTGTAGTCCTTAACTGCTACACACCTGCAACCAACCACTTTACGGGTTTCCCTCTGTCAATTTTACAGAGGCCGACCCACTCCCCGAGTTTCTTGTTGTCATCACCCTTAATTAGGTTGATTTGGTGTTCAGCACAAAGGGCCTCCACCAACTTGACATTCACAGGCTCATCACGGTTGGATGCAAGCACACAAAGATGGGCTTGGCGCTTTTCTAAGGCTTTGGCAGCTTCGTGAATTCCACGTGCTAGGCCGTCGTGGATGAGGGCTGTCTTCAGCACCTCTTGTAAAGCAGTATTAACGTCCATGACACCTCCAGCAGCAATACCTTCCTCGACCATGGCGGTGGGTTATGGATGAAGCAGAATCTTGAACGCACCCAAGCCTTGGCCTCCACACAACCCGTCCACAGCAGGGAAAGAGCCATGGTTTTTTTAAACCCTAAATGTGACTTAAAGCAATGATACTTCTGCAGCAATGAGCTCTCCCAGCACTAAAGTCATGAGCCCAACAAGAGAATGGGTCTGGCTGGGCCCGGTAGGATAGGCCTGGTGCGGTGGCTCACGTCTGTAACTGCCGTACTCTAGAAGGCTGCGGTGGGAGGACTGCTTCAGCCCAAAAGTAGTTACTAAAGACCATTCTTTACTAAAACGAATTAATGTTCCTTAGAAAAATGGCTGATTTGGGCCAGGTGCAGTGGTTCATGCCTGTAATCCCAGCAACTTGGGAGGCTGAGGCGGGCAGATCACTTGAGGCCAAGAATTTAAGACCAGCCTGGCTGACACAGAGAAACCCCATCTCTACCAAAAATACAAAAATTAGCCAGGCATAGTGGCAATGCCTGTAGTTCCAGTTACTCAGGAGGCTGAGGTGGGCCTGATTGCTTGAACCCCAGAAGCAGAGGTTGCAATGAGCTGAAATGACATCACTGTGCTTCAGCCTGGGTGACAGAGCAAGACTGTCTCAAAGAAAAAAAAAAAAGAATAGAAAAGAAAAATGGCTGAGTCCACATCTGGAGCTGGGAAAGTAAAAATTGAGCCTGGGGCAACTTGTGTCAAAAGCAAGCAAGTGCTCACAAAACCTTGGGGCACGTCAGAAAGGATGTAGGCATTAGCTTAAAAGGGCTCCCATGGAACACATAAGTTCCAGTTCGAGCACAAAAAGAATAATAACTACAATCGATTGTGAAATATTACATGGAGGCCAGGCACAGCGGCTCATACCTGTAGTCCTAGCACTTTGGGAGGCCAAGGCAGGCGGATGGCTTGAGCCCAGGCAACTTGGCAAAACCCCATCTCTACATAAAACACAAAACTTACTGCAGTTTGGGAGACCAAGGTGGGTGGATCACCTGAGGTCAGGAGTTTGAGACCAGCCTGGCCAACATGGTGAACCCTGTCTCTACTAAAAATACAAAAAAGTAGGCCAGGCACGGTAGCTCACACTTGTAATCCCAGCACTTTGGGAGGCCAAGGTGGGCAGATTACCTGAGGTCAGGAGTTCCAGACTAGCCTGACCAACATGGAGAAACCCTGTCTCTACTAAAAATACAAAATTAGCCAGGCATGGTGGCATATGCCTATAATCCCAGCTACTCGGGAGGCTGAGGCAGGAGAACCACTTGAACCTGGGAGGCAGAGGATGCAGTGAGCCGAGCTCGAGCCCTACCCAAGGCAACAAGAGCAAAAGTCCATCTCAAAAAAAAAAAAAAAAAAACAAAAATTAGCCAGGCATGGTGGCACACACCTGTAGTCCCAGCTACTCACAAGGCTGAGGCAGGAAAATCACTTGAACCTAGGAGGCGAAGGTTCCAGTGTACAGAGATCAAGCCACTGCAATCCAGCCTGGGTGACAGAGCAAGACTACATCCCCCCCAAAAAAAAAGTTTAAATGGTTGAGAGAAGAGAATCCTGTATACTGTTGGTAGGAATGTACAGTGATTAGTAGAGCAATTATGGGGAACTGTATGGAGGTTCCTCAGAAAACTAAAAAAAAAATTACCATATGATCCAGAAATCTGACTTCTGGGTATTTACCAGAGATTTGAAATCAGTATGTCAAAGAGATACCTGCACTCCCATGTTCACTGCAGCAGTATTAACAACAGTCAAGTTATATAGTCAAACCGAGTGTTCATCAGCAGATGAATGGATAAAGAAAATATGGTGTATATATACTGTGAGATGCTGTTCAGTCTTTAAAAAAATTTTGTCACTTGAGACAGCGTTAATGGAATTGGAGAACATCACACTAAGTGAAATAAGCCAGGCATGGAAAGACAAATACTGTATGTTATCACAAAACTCAAAGAAGGAGAGAGTAGAATAGTGTTTACCAGAGACGAGCCTGGAGGAAATGGAGATATGATGGTCAAGGGTACAAAGCTTCATTAGACTTGAACAATAAGCTTTTCTTTGAGATATATTGCACAGCAAAGTGAATATAGTAAGCCCTGTACATTTCAAAAGTGTTGAGATAATTTTCTTTTTTATACTTTTAAATGTTTTCCCTCCACTATCTGAATGTAGAGAGTAAATTTCAAACATTCTCACCACAAAAAAAGTATTTAAAAGTGATAGATGTTAATTAACTTGATTTAATCATCCTGTGGTGTATTCATGAATTGTAACGTTACTTTGTACCCCATAAATATATACAACTATAATCTGCCAATTTACGATTAAAGATTAAAATTTTTTTTCTTTTTTTTTTTTATTGCATTTTAGGTTTTGGGGTACAGGTGCAGAGCATGCAATACAGTTGCATAGGTACACACAGGGCAGTGTGTTTTGTTTGCTTTCTCCCCAAAGATTAAAATTTTTAAAAATAAAAGGTAACAACAAAAAAATGGATAAGTAGATAGAAAAATCGATGAATACAGAAGCTGGTGAAAACTAGTAAAGCGAATATCGCAAAATGTAGAATTTGTTGAATATTTGAGTATTTGGGTGTTTATCGTTCTTTTTCTATGTTAGAATTTTTTTTTTCTTTTGAGACGGAGTTTCGCTGTTGTTACCCAGACTGGAGTGCAATGGCACGATCTCGGCTCCCCGCAACCTCCGCTTCTTGGGTTCAAGCAATTCTCCTGCCTCAGCCTCCCGAGTAGCTGGGACTACAGGCGCTCACCACCAGGCCCAGCTAATTTTTGTATTTTTAGTAGAGACGGGGTTTCACCTTGTTGACCAGGATAGTCTCGATCTCTTGACCTCGTGATCCACCCGCCTCGGCCTCCCAAAGTGCTGGGATTATAGGCGTGAGCCACCGCACCCGCCTAGAAATTTTTCAAAATAAAAAGTTGGAAATTCTGATATTCACACAGTAACAGAATCTAACATTCCAGGCTGCACTGCAGCTCATTAGTATTTCTCCTTCTTCCTTCTTCCTTCTCCTTCTTCTTCGACAGTCTCGCTCTGTCCTCCAGGCTGCAGTGCAGTGGCATGATCTCAGCTCACTGCAACCTCCAACTCGTGGGTTCAAGCGATTCTCCTGCCTCAGCCTCCCAAGTAGCTGGGACAACAGGCACGTGCTACCACGCCCGGCTAATATTTTGAATTTTTAGTAGAGATGGGGTTTCACCGTGTTAGCCAGGATGGTCTCCATCTCTTGATCTTGTGATCCACCCGCCTCGGCCTCCCAAAGTGCTGGGATTACAGGCATGAGCCACCGGGCCCAGCCAATATTTCTTTGTTCTCCTGAGGAATCGAAAGATTCTCATTTGTGGTATTTCAAAGGCACGTAAAGAAACATATCCAAACTGTTGACTCTTCATTCAAGTTTGGCTTTAATAGTAAAAATTATAGAATTTGTAAATATTAAAACACTGAAACTTGCTACAAGAACGACAGTGCACTAACAATAAAATCAAAGTAGAAGCTAAACTATTCAGAAGCAGTAGCAACTCCATGATTCCAAGGTAATTTAAACAGGCAATTTCAAAGAATGCTTCATGATGAAGGCGCAAAGCAGCCTCTCGGCCTGCAGTGATACGACGACACCGGCAGATGGCGTTGCAAAGCTTCTCAAATGCGGCGAGAAGTCCATTTACCAATGGCTGTTGCGATCTCTTAATTCGCTTGAACTGAGTTTGTATTAAAATTCATAATTTTTACTGCTTATTGCAGTTACTCGTATACTACTGACACTGGAACAGACGTGTTTTAACAACTGTTGAGCCGTACCAGTGCGAGCCAGCTGAATGTCAGCGCTGTTCCCTCCTATGACAGACGCCACCGGCGCCTGCCTGAGGGCACTCCCCTCACCGGGATTCTCAGTACCACGCCCACAGATCCCCAAGGCTTGTTCCGTCCCTAAGCCCCATCTTCCTGCATTCTCACCCTTCTCCTCCACTTAATCTTTCTTCCTAGCATCATGTTAACAGGCTCCAAACTAAAAAAATTCCTCAATTGCCTATACTCTGCTCCTTCCATTTTTTATTTCATTACAATCACTGCCAAACAACTTGAAAATTCTCTCCTCTACTCCACTGCCTTTACTCTTTTCCTCCAAATTATTCCTTAACCCTCTGACATCTGGGGCCTCTGATTCCACCTCTCCAAAGAAACTGCTCCCACCAACACCGTGGAGGCCTCTCTCGCTGCTGATGGATAGTCTTCATTCTCCACGCCACCTTACATCAGCAGCATGCCACACCGCCCTTCCTTCCTTCCTCCCCTAGCTTCATCACACCATGTTACTAGGTTTTTTCCTGTCTCACTGGCTCCTTTCCCTGCTCTCCTTTATGTTTCCTGCTTTCTTCCTCAGCCTTCTCTGCTCCCCACACCTATATGTTGATGATGCGCAAATCTGTCTCCAGCCACGACCTCTCTTTCCCCAAGCTCCATTTGCATAAACTGTCTCAGATGAGATCCAGGGCACTCATGGTGGTATGGCTGTAAACAACTGTCTCAGGAAACAGACCATGACCCACCCAGTTGCCAAGTGAGAAAGAGGATGTATACTCTTGACTTCTCCCTCTCCCCTACACAGCAAAACAATCCCAAGATAGAATCCCAATTCTATCTCCTAAGAAACCCATAAAACGATTTCTCTTCTTTCCATCTTCCATTACCCTAATTCTGGTGTCCATTCTCTCTCTCAGCGATGGCTGCAAAAGCCTCTGATTTCTCCCCTTTCCAAACCAGTCTCCACACTGCAACTATAGTGATCTTTCTAAGGCACAATTCTCACCTTTTCAGTCTTAGGCTTAAACTTCAATGTCCCTCTGGATAAAGTCTAATCTTTAACACAGCTGACAAGGCCCAGCAAGAGCTGGACCAAGCCCACCTCTCCAGCTTCACCTTTCCTCATTTCTCCTTTGCACCCTCTGCCCCTGAACAAGTTACAATCTTCCAAAGTTGTCATATTCCTTAACCTTTACTGTCTCCTCTGCCTGGAATGCTATTCCCCTCTGTCTGGAAAACTCCTGCCCAGTCTTTAGGCCTCAGCATGGACATCTCGTCCTCTAGGAGGATTTGCCTGATTCACCAAGACCAGCTTAACTGCGCCTACTGGCTGTTCCTGTAGCAATTCTTTACCATAGACTACTGATTATTACTATTTTTTTGGCAGTCTGACATAACTTGATTTACTAATGCAGCTTCTAGCCCTGTTCCCCACTTCTCCCTGATCAGTACCCCAAGATCCCTCCTATATGCCACTACCCCACAGGATCCTGTACCAACCTTCTCCCAGAACTTATCACACTTATTTTTATAATTGTTTCTATTCTCCAATAAACTGTGAGCTCCACAAAGAACCATTTCTATCTCACTTACCACTTGGAAGTAATGGCAGTAATTTCTCAACAAATGTTCTATGAGTGAATGAATCCTTTGGATAATTATGGTACTAACCACCTTATTTAGTTTTGACAGCTGAATAGATATACATAAAATAATGCTTTTATAGTTTACACACTGCTATAGAACTATTGTATTATTCTATCCCTACCCTCTATTCCTTGAGGGTAAGATCTTGCTTTATTAAATTTCGGTTATTGTCTCAGAACTCAGGGAGATATGTCTGGCATATATAGTTTTTTTGTTTGTTTGAGAAGGAGTCCTGCTCCGTTGCCCAGGCTGGAGTGCAATGGCACGATCTCTGCTCACTGCAACCTCTGCCTCCCGGGTAGAAGCAATTCTCCTGCCTCAGCTTCCCAAGTAACTGGGATTACAGGAATGTGCCACCAAACCCTGCTAATATTTGTATTTTTTTTAGTAGAAACGGGTTTTCACCATGCTGGCCAGGCTGGTCTCGAACTCCTGACCTCAGTCGATCCGCCCACCTGGGCCTCCCAAAGTGCTGGGATTACAGGCGTAAGCCAACATGCCCGGCCATGGAATATATTGTTTTCAACCAATTTTTGTTGACTGCATCAATGATTATAAGAAATGAACAAAGACCCAGATAATTGAACCATCCTGGACCACAGTTACCTTGTTCCAGAACCAGGACTAGAATCCTGTCTGGAAAAAGGGAAGCTTGGAAGTTGACTTCTACATGAAATTCCAGCATGGATGAGAGCAGCTCTGGTTTTTCTCCATCAAGAGACTAATCAGCTATGGAAGCTGCCAGAGCCCCAGACCTCCAAGATCAAGCGTTCACATAATAGAGACATGACCCAGACAAGAGGGTGTGAGGACAAGGGTATTTCAGCGTGGAAGGGAGACTGGGCCCTTGGTTTCCTGTGTCTTTGCAGTTAGTTCTAACCTCAGCCTCAGGCACTGGTGTTGGGGTCCTATTCATCCTGATCTGCAGGTCCCTGTTATTTTCCTATTTCTATGACCAGCAAGTCACTGGTAAGAGGCCTGGGAAGAGGTTTTACAGTCTATCCCAGTGGGGATGTTGTAGTTGCCTCCTGCCAAGTCTTCGGCATAAAAATCCCCGCTCCTCAGCTGCCTGTCCAGCTCAGCTCCCAGTTAACTATTCATCCCCACCCCTAGACCCTCTCAAATGCCCCTGATGAAACTCTTCAGGTGGAAAAAGATATAAACAAACAGAGAAGCAGTGCAAGAAACAGAGGTGCAAACAGAATTCTGATTTTTCTCCTTTCTCTCCACATTCTAAGGAAATGAATCCAATGTTCTCCCCCCACCTCCTGCAGCAGAGAAGTCCCCTGAGCATCTGTGAACATCACGAACCCTCAAAGTAAGCTTAGCTTGGGCCCCTTTTCCTTTTCCATCAGTGAGGCTAAAGAGCCCCAGATGGAAGACAGGTGGATTTTCCTCTCAGCTGGGACCTCTTCTCTTTTCTAGCACATTTTGGGAAACCTTCAAACATTCACATGCTGGTAGTATTTCAACTTTGCACTAGAGTGAATTCCAGCGGTTATGTCCTCACTGGAACCAACGGAGATAAACCTAAAGGAATATATGGGCAAACACCTCAGCCTCTTTTTTTCTTTTTCGAAGCTTCTTTAAACATACTTTCCTTTGCTCCTTGGTTAAGAGGACCTCTCTGCCCACGTTAGAGAAACTGCCCAGTGACTCTGATCCTGAAAGGGATGCTTTAGAGCAAAGGAGTCTGGTACTTCTCACTCCTCCATCTAGTGGTCAAGCTATCAAACTACACTTCTTGCTATCATCCAACCCAGACAACACTGGCAGTCAGTAAAACAAAGCCAAAAACAAAGCCAGCTCATTCTCCCATCTCTCAAAGAATTAAATCTAGGAGTCCACCTGCTGGCTTAGCAAAGGAATGTACAGCAAGGCCTAAGGTGCCCTGATTCATGAGAGAACTGATCTCTGCTACAATGCTGAGATGAAATCCTAAAATGATTCTGTCCACCTGCTAGCTTCTAGCTCAGACCCTGCACTGGGTCATCTTTGTTCTTCTACCCCCAAATCAGAGGAAATGGAATTCAGAAGGCTGGTTCTGTACCTGCCTCTATGTACCTCATACACTCATAGTTGCCAGGCTCTTGAATAATGAAACTTAACCCTGTACTTAAAGGGCTGTTCTGATCAAATCACAAATGTGCACGCTAGTGTTCTCCAGTAATTAAAACTCTACTCGTACACATCTAATCAACATATTCACAAGTGTTTTGCCTTAACTAAAAATTTATATTAACACAAAGTCCTAGAATTATACTGCATAAACCCCCCAGGATTTGGAGAACATCATTCACCCTTCTTAATCCAAAACCTTGGGTGCCTGAAGATGGGGTTTTGATCATGGCCAGGCTGCAAATTTAGGTCAGGCTCTGGTGGTACATCCTTATATGCTTGGTGCTTTGCACAAGTCAAGACACACAATAGACCCTCAATAAATATTTGCTGAATTTGAACAATTCCTGTAAAAAACCTCACTTAGAGACATCAGCTTGGGACACCTCCTCTCTTAATGTTCCTTCTCACAGAAGCTCCTGGAATGACCAGGTCTGGCAGCAGGGAGCACACGGGGCTGCTCTTCAAATCAGAGAATGGAACAAACTCCAAAAGGGAACTGGAGTTAGACCTCCCCTCCCCATGTAGATAATGGGATTCCTAAGGTGCAGAGTGGGAGAGTGGGTAGAGGAAGCAGGTTTCAGAGACTGAGAACCTACTAAATAAACTCCTAAACGAACTTTCCCTTGTAAAGAGAATGCATGAAAAAAGAAGGGAGAAGAGGAGAGAAGCCTCCCATAGCTGTTAGCCTGGAACAGCCGCTCTCACCTCAGTTCATCTGGGGAAGGGGCTACAAAGCAAACAATCTTTATTCACAATTGGGGCAGCAGAGGGGAGTTACCCCCAGGTCAGTCCAAAGCAAAGATATTGGGTGGGAAGATGGCACTGGGCGAGGAACTCAGCACTCATCCTCACCCAGCAGGGCATAAGGGTTTCGGCCAGCCAGGCTGGACCCTGGAGCCGAGGTTGGGGTGTCCTCATCCCCTTCTCCCTCCTCATCCGCATCCCGGTCCTCCTCTCCCTCCTCCTCACAGGAGCTGCTCAGCTCTTCCTCTTCCTCCTCCTCCTCGTCACCTGCTGGCCCCACCCTGCCCTGCAAAACCACCAGCTCCGTGGTCTCTGGATGGGACTCCCAGGTGCCTGGGGAACCAAAACAAGAAAAGAATGGAGGAGAGTTTTGAGCAAAGAACTAAAGCCAGAGAAAGATGGGGAAGAGGCAAAGAGTAGGAATAACAAGAATCTTTATACCTGCTTGCATTCATTCATTCATTCATCCATTCAACTTCCTATGTGCAGATTGCTGAACAGAAGCTTTGTGCACATCAATTTCAGTCTTTACAATCACCATGCTAAGGGTCAATTATTACCCTCAGTTTGCAGATCAGGAAATCGTCTCAGACATTAAGTAACAGAGTTGGCCAACAGGGACAGAATCCAGGTTTGACCCTCTCTCTCTCTCTGGCCACAAAGCCCACACCCTTTTACCTATACCATAGCAGGGGACTGGGGAAGAATATCTGGGCTCTGACCTTTCTGTTCACTGTAGCCTGGGGGATGAAAACACAGGCTGAGGCGGCCATCCACTGCCAGCCGCAAGAGACTATTGGCTGCTCTGTACACATCATTCCGAGCTGCCTTGGCTGTCTTGTAACCACGTTTCTCTGCCCAGGCTGGAGAGAGGAAAGAATAATGGAAAGGGAAGGCATTAACCAGGTACCAGTTATCATACTCCCACTCCCATAACACAGTCCTTCCAAGTTTTCCCCAAAACATTCCAGGCCAGAGATCTTACTGGCTTTGCAACAAAAATCTAGGGGTGAGTGGACAGCAGCTTCATCAATGGCAGAATCTCTGAGGAGAGGAAAGGAGACAGGGTAGGGTAAAAGGCAAGGCCAGAAGGCTGGCAGGTAAGGAAGAGCAGCTGAAACCAGGTGGGGCGAAGCCAGGCACATGGAACTCACCTTCACAGATGTCCCAGGCACACCAGGGGTGTTCCATTGAGGGGTCCTCAGTCTCTGGGTGGCGCAGGTGGAGCAGGGCCTGCACAGGGATTCGGGAGGCCAGGTAGCCCACAGCGGTATAGGGTTCCTGGATCTGGGCAATGGGGTAGATCCCTGCCAGAACCTGAGGGGAATGAGCACTCAGTACCTTCCTCAATGTCGCACCTTCTCTCCTTCCCTTACCCACCCTCCCCATCATACCTGCAACTGCCTAGGCAGAAGAGATGGGAAGATGAGGCCCGGGCAGTCACAAAGCTTCACGGATGGGGTAAGAAAGTAGGTCTGAAAGTATCGGGTATGGCCTGGGGTTCTGGAGACACTCACAACTTTCCGCCCCACCAGCCCATTGATCAGCGAGGACTTTCCCACATTAGGGAAACCTGAAGAACGCAAGGAAAATTAATGTTTAACAGATCTTTACTCTATGATGGGAGGACTTGGTGCTATACCTATAGGTAAAAGGGGAACTAAGGCTCAGAAATTAAGGAAATGGTATTGCAGAATACAAATCACGCTCTGAGCTGCCAAGGTTAAATCTTGGCCCCTCCACTTACTAGCTTTGTGATATCAAGGGAATTAACTTTCTGAGTCTCTGTTTCTTCATTTACAGTGTGTATACCTCCTACTTCAGGGTGGTCAGGATTAAATGAGATAACCAAAAAATCTTGTGTGGGTCAGTGCCTGCAGTACAGTAAGTACCCAGTACCAGTGAGCCACATCTCATAATAATAATTATGACTTGGCTGGGCACAGTGGCTTACACCTGTAATCTCAGCACTTTGGGAGGCTGAGGTGGGCAGATTACCTGAGGTCAGGAGTTCAAGACCAGCCTGGCCAACATGGTGAAACCCCCATCTCTACTAAAAATACAAAAATTAGCTGGGCGTGGTGGCAGGCGTCTGTAATCGCAGCTACTTGAGAGGCTGAGGAGAATCGCTTGAACCCAGGAGGCAGAGGTTGTAGTGAGCTGAGATCATGCCATTGCACTCCAGCCTGGGCAATAAGAGCAAAACGCTACCTCAAAAATAATAATTATTATTATTATCAGGCCGAGTGTGGTGGCTCATGCCTGTAATCCCAGAACTTTGGGAGGCTGAGGCAGGCAGATCACAAGGTCAGGAGTTTGAAACCAGTCTGGCCAACATAGTGAAACCTCATCTCTACTAAAAATACAAAAATTAGCTGGGCGTGGTGGCAGGTGCCTGTAATCCCAGCTACTCAAGAGGCTGAGGCAGGAGTATAGCTTGAATCCAGGAAGTGGAGGTTGCGATGAGCCAAAATCATACCATTATACTCCAGCCTGGGCAACAAGGGTGGAAGCCTCAAAAAAAAAAAAAAACCTATTATGACTTGTCCAAGGAGACTGAAAGCCTTGGGGTTCAATGCCACTCTGTTCACAACCACCACCATCTTCCTTCTGGCTGACTTCAGTGCCTTCATCTCACTTCCAGAGAGCATCTCCTTTACTCCACCTCAGCTGTCCACTCCCATGGTAATACCTGCATCTTGTCACTTCACAGCTCCAAAGCCTCAATTTCAAGCACCTCTCTCTGCCCTGACAACCCATCTTTCCAGCAAACTTATTCTGGTTCCTCCATTCCAGTAAGTCTTTGACCCCTGACCTTATCAGAGAAACACTATGCAATACCCAACTCATGTCCTCAATTTTCTTAACTGACTCAGATTTCGTGATCCAGCTCCATAGCCAGGCCCATTCACAGACCTGGAACTCCCTAGTCCCACCTCTCCCCTCTATCTTACCCACCTCGCAAAATCCCAACCCTGTAAAATCCAACTCTGTCCATTCAGCACCTGCTCCTGGGCAGCTGACTGTGGCTCAGAAAAGATGTACCACTGTGCTGACTGCACCCCTTTACAACACATGGAAGTATCTAGGAAGAAGGGAGGGAAGGAGGGAGAAAACAGTTCTCCTTTGACAACAATCACCAGACCCATTTCTCTGATACTTTGTAAGAAAACCCCTTAAAAGACGCATCTACTTTTTTTCACCACTTCTTCATACTATCTTCTTTGTAACTGTAAACTGTTAACACATACAAAAATGCACAGAACATACCTGTGCAGCCTGATGAACCCCATACCACCCAATGTGTGGCAACACGTTCCATTTGACCTTGTTTTGTTTTTTTGAGACAGAATCTTACTCCCTCACCCAGGCTGGAGTGCAGTGGTGCAATGTCGGCTCACTCCAGCTGCAGCCTCCCAGGTTCAAGTGATTCTCGTGCCTCAGACTCCTGAGTAGCTGGGACCACAGGCATGCAACTCCAAGCCCAGCTAATTTTTTGTATTTTTTTTTGTAGAGGTGGGGTTTTGCCATGTTGGTCAGGCTGATCTCAAACTCCTGACCTCAAGCAATCCACCTGCCTCAGCCTCCCAAAGTACTGGGATTACACGCGTGAGCCACCACACCCAACCTCCATTCATCCTTCTTGATTATAATCCTCTCCCTCCACACATATGTGAACTTTATACTTTTAAGGGAATCTACTTCTTATGTTTCTCTTTAGTTTATGACCTGTGTATCTCTGAACAATGCAGCTTAATTTTGCAGCTTTCAAACTTTATACAACTGAAACTGTGCAGTATGTATGCAATTGTGTCAGGTTCCTTTCACACAACGTTATATGAGGTTGTTGCACCTGCTCTCATGGGCCTACTCCAATTTGGCTTTCTCCACCCCACTGAAACCACTGATCTTCATATTACCAAGCCCGCTGAGCAGGTCTCTGTTCTCTCACTTGGCCTGTAGGCAACAGCTGACACAGCTGATCCCTCCTTTCCTCTTCAAACACCTTCTTCATTTGACTTCTGGGACACTCCCTTGGTTTTCCTCCTTCTCACTCTCCTTTGCCCAGCTAAATGTGGCTTGTCCTGAAGCTCGGTCCTTGACCTCCTCTTCTCTGCCTGTTTCCTTTCTCTCCTATATCTCATCCAATCCCACGGCTTTTTTTTAGACAAAGTCTCACTCTGTCGCCCAGGCTGGAGTGCAGAGGCACGATCTCAGCTCACTGTAACCTCCACCTCCCAGGTTCAAGCAATTCTCGTGCCCCAGCCTCCCAAGTAGCTAGGACTACAGACATGCACCACCACACCCAGCTAGTTTTTTGTTTCGGAAGAGACGGTTTCACCATGTTGGCCAGGCTGGTCTGGAACTCCTGGCCTCAAGTGATCCACCTGCCTTGGCTTCCCAAAGGGCTGGGATTATAGGCATAAGCCACTGCACTCAGCCTAATCCCACAGCTTTAAATACCACTTATATCCATCAATGGCTCCCCAAATTTAAATTTTTCCCAAATTCAAATTTCCAGTCCTCTTCTCTCCCCTAATCTTCTTTTTTTTAATTTTAGCAATTCATTTTTTTATTTTATTTATTTTTTTTGAGACGGAGTTTCGCTCTTGTTACCCAGGCCGTTGTACTATGGTGCGATCTCCGCTCACCGCAACCTCCACCTCCTGGATTCAGGCAATTCTCCTGCCTCAGCCTCCCGAGTAGCTGGAATTACAGGCACGCGCCACCATGCCCAGCTATCTCCCCTAATCTTCTGACTATTTGCCCACTGCCTATTTGACATCTCCACTAGGGATATTTAAAAAGAATCTAAAATTTAATTTCTGATTCCCTTTGCCTCCCCAAAGCCTTCAAATCTGCTTCTCCCCTAGTCTTCCCATCTCAGTATTTGCAGTTGCTCAAGACAAAAACCTGGAAGTCCTTCTTTATCCTCACTTTCATGTGCCAACTGCAAGCCATCAGTGATCTCATTTTCTCTACCTTCAAAATACATCACGCTTCTGGTCCTGTCTCACCACCTCCAGCTCTAGCACCCTACTCTTAGCAACTCTTATTTCTCCTCTAGACTACTGAAATAGCCTCGGACTGCTCTCTCTGCTCCCTTTCTTGCCACTCCCCATCATTTATTCTCTACTTAGCAGGTAAACTGCTAAGAAAGAAAATCAGATCCTGTCATTCCCCTTTTCAAAACCTACCCTTGGCTTCTCATGAGACTTGGAATAAAATCCAAAATGCCTATCACAGCCTCAGGACTCTACATGATGTGGGCCCTGGCGATCTTGATGACCTCATCCGCAATACTCTATCCTGCCTCTCATACTCCAATTCCCTGGGCACTCTTGCTGGTCCCAGAATCTCCAAGCTCATTCCCACCTCAAAATCCTTTCCCCATAGCTCTGAATGGCTCACTTCATCTCATTATCCAGTTCTCTCCTCAGGGAAGTTTTCCCTAATCACCTCTCCCCTCGGCCACTCTTTATTCTCTTTCATTGCTTTACTTTCTTCACTGCCCCTACATGATTTCAGATCACAAAATCTATTTATTCACAAAACAATAAGCTCCATAAATGTACAGAATTTTTTGCCATTTTCATAGCAGTATGTCCCATTCCTAGAATATCTGGCACCTGGTAAGTGCTCAGTACATATTTGTTGAACGGCTAAATGAATGAGAGCTGGAGGGAAATACAAACGCAGGGGTACCTGTGCCACAGCAAACACACTCCTTCTCACACCATGTGGAATAGAGACCAGCTAGAGCAGAGGCTGCCAAGAGAGGGAACAGAGACTCCTTGTGAGGGGGAGCCTATGATCAGAAGTCAGGGAAGGGACAGCCTGGGGGAAATGACTGGAACGAGGAGCAATCACTCAGCAGTAAGGCAGGTTTTTCAAAAGACAAGAAGGACACTGAGAGATACATCAGGGCACTTCCAAGGAGCCCAACTACATACTCCACATTCCCCTGTTTCTTCTGGGTTGGGCCCTTTTTGGTTCCAGTATCACCTCAGATACCACAACCTGGCCAAGGTCTCTTCTTAACTCTCCTATCCAAAATGAAAACAGGCTCTGGGTCCTAATCATACATTCCTTTTTCCTCTACTGTGAGATGAGATAAAGCTCTTAATTAAGGAGAGATTCTCCTTGACAACAAACTTCAAAGGGTTAAAACCTAGAAGGAAACTAATACTTGCTGAGCTTCTACTATGAGTTGATAATCACTGTGCTAAAGACTAATTACTACAATTCAAACAGTTAATATATATAAACCACTTAAAACAGTGCCTGGTACATAGTAAGCACTATATAAATACTAAGTTTTAACAATACTAATTGTTACTATTGTTACCACTATTTGTCAGGCGTTCTTAGGCTCTCTCAATACTATCCCTGTCATTCTTCACATCCATTCTTTTTTGTTGTTTAAAAGACAGGGTCTCACTCTGTCAGCCAGGCTGGAGTACAGTGGCACAATCATAGTTCACAGCAGTCTTGAACTCCGGGGCTCAAGTGATCCTCCTGCCGCAGCCTCCGAAGTAGTTGGGACTATAGGTACACATCACCCTACTTGGCTAGTTTTTATTTTTTATCTTTTGTAAAGATGGGATTTCACTATGTTGCCCAGTCTAGTCTTGAGCTCCTGGTCTCAAGCTATCCTCCCACCTCAGCCTCCCAAAGCACTGGGACTACAGGCATGAGCCCTCATCCATGGCCCTGATCCATTCTTTTAATCAGGTATCAATGTCTTCATTTTAAAAATCAAAGTAACCAAGACTCAGAGTAGCAAAATCACTTGCTCAAGACTTCACAGCTGAGAAGAGGCGGAATTTAACTCAGGCTGTCATGATCTTTCCACCACAGCAGATGCCTCTTCTGCCTTGCCCGTGACCACTGGCAGAGATCACCCCTCAGACACCCTGGGGCCTAATAAGACCAGATCACCCACCCTCTTTTCCAAATATGAAAACTCTGTTCCTCCTTGGAGGCCACCAAGCATGAGCTGCCACTTCCTTACCCACACAACCGATGGTCACCACCCCATCCTTGTAGCGCTCCCGGGTTGGGCCAGTTGGCTCCATCGCTGAATCAGTCTGCTGCTCCACCAGGACTGCTGGCCCATCCTCTTCGTCCTCCTCCTCCCCGGAGCCATTACCCCAGGTGGCCCCAGCCACATCCCGAGCAATCTTCTCCCGCCAGCTGCTCAAGTCCACTGCTCAAAGAAGGAGAAGATGAGGAGGTTCTCCCCGGGGTTGCTGTGTATGATGGCACATACTGTGCCCTGCACAGATGATGTAAGATGGCACCCTCTGGAGTTGTACGGTGCCAACCTGAACAAAAGTAGGCCAGAAAACTCTCCCAGCAGTCACTTGACCCCACCCTCCCTGAAATCATGCACATTTCTGTGTCTGAGTTTCTGAAAAGTACTGGGAAGGCTGAAGGCAGTAAGCCACTGAGGCTCCCAACTACCTGCTGCCTCTCATCCCACCAAGTCAATCTGCTCCTTATTCTTTCCCTTTCCCTGGCTTCTCACACACATCCACCAGAGAGGTGGAAAGGTGAGCCAAATGATTCTGCATCTTGGGTCTCCCCCATGGTCCCCAACAGCCCTCCTCTAAGGGCCACATACCTTTTCCGACAGTGATGGCTTCACAGGCTCTCAGCAACTGCTCTGGCCCCAGGGCCCGAGTCCATCCTCTCCCCCGCCTCCGACTCTTCTTCAAGACTGAGATCAGAGCGTACAAAAGGACTGGCACATAGGCTTAGGTCTCTCATCTCTCCCAACACCCTTAGGCCTAAGACCAGGTGCCCCCTTGTCAACAAGCCTCTCTGTTCTCCCCTTTGTCCCCTGCCAACTCGCCTCTCCCTAGCTGCCCTCCTCATTGCCTACTCACCACTACTAGGGTCCTGTGGAGTGCGGGGGTCCCGAGGGAAAGAGGTGAAAAGGACGACATGGAGCTGGGGATAGTGTTGGTGGAAGTAGTGCTTCCAGGCAACCACAAGAGCTGGCGGGGCCAGATCCACCTTGTTCAAAACCAGCACGAGAGACAGCCCAAGTTCTCCAGTCACGTACTCATAAAGTGCTGGCGGGAAATTCACAACCTAGGACAGGGTTGGTAAGAGAATGGAGCAGTAAGAGGTCAACCCAGAGTTCTCTGCCTCCAGCTGCCCACTCAGCAGGCATAGCTCAGAGACAAGACCCTGGCAGTAGCAGGTTCTGGGCTGAAAACTATAAACTACCCAAACTGAACAAGGAAGACAAAACAGGGTTAGTAATACTTCTGAGTTTCAGGGGGCTTCCTATAGGTCATGATTAGAGATGGAAATAACCCAAAACAAGACAAGGAAACAGCATCCCTTAGCACACTGAGGTAAAGGCTGGGATCGGAAATAGGGATGGGGTTAGGGTAGAAATTAGTCTGTTTTTGTGTGCATACAACCATGTAAGTGTGTACATATGCATTTATGCATGCATGCAAGTACGTGCCCATGTGTGCATGTCTGTGTATTAAGAATGTGACTGTGAAAATGTGTGCAAACATGCCTGTGTATACTGATATGCACATGAACACATATATGTGTTTGTGAGTATGTGTGTATATATCATTAAGAAGGAGCTCCAATCTAAACGTCCTCACAGACCTCTCTTTCTCCCACTTGAGGACAAGAGTGAAGTGGCAGAGCCAGGATTCACACTGGGCAGTCCAGCAGCAGTCTACAGCCTTAACTACTACTCTAGCATTCCAGGTAGGTTCAGTAGCAACTGATATGGCTGTGCTAGAGAAATGAGATAAGGAAGAAAGGGCATCTTTGGGCTGGGCAGGAGAAAGTGCCCAACTGCATTCATAGAATCCCTTGAGCTCCACACTTGGATTTTCTATTGGTCTAACTGTGGTGGGCTAAAAGACAGGACATGGTGTTTTGAAGAGAGAGTGAACTGGCCAAAGGAGGAGTGACAGGCCATAAGACAGAATAAAAAACTGAGTTCCTAAGACATCAGCACTAGGTAAAGGTTAGAAAGACAGGAAGATGGATACCTGTCTCCCAACTCTTGCCTCTGACCTGTGCTCCCCAAAACCTTTTCTCCCTCCTCCCCCTTGCCCACCCTTATTGCTAGTACTCACTGGATGTCGGATATCAGTGATAAGCAGGACAATGTCAGACATCTCTAACACCCGCCACAGCTGCCTCCATGTCTAAGAAGACAAGATCCAGAAGAGAACCTCAACACAGAGTCTCTCTCCGCCTGACCCCAAACCAATTTGACCATGGGTCACTATGCCCCACTCTTGTCCCTACTCTGAGTCACCTCCAGATTGTGCTCAAAGTAGCTGAGTTTCTCAGAGGAGTAAGCCCCATGAATCTTCCCAAGATACTCTTGGAAGCTCCGTTCCTCTTGGCTCATTAGTTGCTCCTTGGACATCTCATAGCTCCAAGGAGGACGTCGAGGAAAGTCCAGAACTGGGAAATCAGGAAGAAGTCCAAGTGTGAGGAAATTTTCAGTATTCAAGAGTACATCCCAGACCCCTCCTTCCTCACAGTCGGCTCTTACCTTTCCAAACTCCTTCCCAGCCCATGCCTGTCTTGCTCTCACTCACCTGAGCCAGGCTGATAGACCTCTCGGATGTCCAGCTCCAACACTTCAGCACTGACCGGCTGTAAAACTTGCTCACGGGCTGCTCTCTTTCTCCTCTCTACCTCCTCCCTGCTGTCTCTTTCAAAATGCAGTCGGTATCTAAGGGAACAGGGACCGAGATATCCAGCGCAATCCTGTGGCCACAAACTCCCATTTTCTCCCCTCTTGGACAATCAACTTCGCAAAGCATTCTCTCCAGAGTTGTTGAAGCCTCCTGTCTCAAGTCAGCCTTCCCCCAAGTTCCTCTTTCACGCAATATTCAGCCTCCTCCTTTTAAAAGACAAATTCTCTCCAGCCTCTCTGGAAAGGAAGATTGTGACCTGCTCTGGGGAGCCGAGAGGCCAGCGGAGAACTGTGGCATCCTAGGCCCACCGTCTTCACCAGTAGCATCCTGCTTTCCCCCAAAGCTCTGACTTCCGGGTAGGCGGGAAAGTCGGAACCAGTGCCCCCTCCCACCCTCACCGATTTGGGTCGTAGCCTCGCGGACCCAGCCCCTGAGAAGGCTGCTGGTTAAGCCTGCGGATATGATGGGTCACAGACTCCCCGTCCGAGGTATCGGTCTGTTCCTCCCGCCGCTCCCGGCTCCCGCTGCGGCTGTTGGAACTGGAGCGTAGCCCATCTTGAAGCCCTGCGGAGAGGGGCGGGTGACGCCAGGGCTGGCCAGCTCTCAAGCGCCGTAAGACCCTCTCCCGCGTCGGCCTGACTCTCCTTCATCCCACTCAACTTCTTTGGAGGCTCCGTCCTCCCAGCCACCCTGTTCGGGACCCTCCCGGATGTGCGCGGGGGAGTCACTCCTCCAGGGAGCAGTGCGGACCGTGCCCTGTACGAGCTGAAGGGATTCCCCTCCCCCAATTCTCCATCTTTCCCCACCCCTTCCAGATGTAGGGGGGGTGGGGAATCCCCTCCGCGAAAGGCCTCGAGGGTCAGCGCTCTCCCACGATCCCCTCCCACGCCCCCTAGAAGTGCAGCTAGCACACCCCTCCTTCCAGATGTGCGGGAGCCTGAGCCCCGCCCCCTCCTCCCGCTCCCGCACTGACCTCTCTTCCGCTCCCGCTTGTCCTGCAACTGCTTCTTCTTCTGCTTCACGCTGAAGGGCTTCTTCCTCGGCATGGCCCGGACCAGTCACCTGGCCCGCCCTCCGCCGAGCTCCCGCCGCCTCAACTAACTGCCCCCGGGGCAGCCCCCGCCGCAGGGGCCCGGGACCCTAGAGGAGGCGGGGCTAGCAGGTGACGTCAGCGGGCGGGCCCGACCGAATTGCCGCGGCGGCCGCGATGGAAGACGACCGAGGGAGATATACAGTCACTTCCCTCCAGGAGCTAGGCGAGAGGATGATGCGGGGTGGGCTACTGGCACGTGAGAGCCAGTGGCACCGAGAGGGCGCCCCGGCGGCGGCGAAGGAGGCGCGCGTGGGAGGACCGGGCTAACTCCGTCACGGACGCTACCAACTTGCGTTCGGAGAAGGGGGGATGCGTGTCATCACTACTTTGCGCTCCCGGGAGAAGCTACCACTCACCTGGAGGGGGCGGTGGAGTGGAGGGCGGGGCCTACTACCTAGGGGAGAGGAGGCGTGGACTCGCTGAGACTACAAAACCAACCCTCGGGCTAGACCTTACTGGAAAACCGAGACTGTGCGTCCCGGGTAAGAAGCCAGGTTGCTGAGCTACACCGGGGGCACGATCAGAGGTCTTTAGGGGAGGGCGGCGGTCTGAAGAGTCCTGGGTGCCGACCTGCTGGGACCCAAATTCCTTGTGAGAACGATGATAAGTAGCAGGTTTACAGATGAGTGCAAAAGGGGACGAGAAGGGAAACCCAAACGGCACAAGGACTTTGGAGGGAGGTCAGAGGGCACGAAGTTGTGCCTGCAGCTGTTACCATAGTAACCGGGGACCGGATGTGGCGATCTTACGGTGCGACAGTCCTCTTCTCAGGCCTTCTGGCCAGAGAGCCTCTTGACTCTGTGGCACACTCCGAGGAGCTGGTTGTGGTGGTTTCCAACGAGGGAAGAAGAGAGGAATTTTTTTCAAAGCAGTTATAGAAACGCAGCAAAGGGAAGGTGTGAGGTTGCCACCATGCCTAGCAGAGACGGACAGAGGCAGTTTACTCCAGAATGCGGCCGCTGCAGATGTTCCCCGCAACGTTCCGGAAATGGAATGGCGGGAGCCTCATCCTCGCTGCCCACCGCCCCGCCGGAAGCGGAAACAGAATCCCCGTGTGCCCCTTCCTCACTGCCCTCCAAATCCCGCTGCAGCCATTGCGGCAGCCACGATGCCGAAACGAAAGAAGCAGAATCAGCACCAGCCACCATCACAGCAGCAGCCCCCACTGCCCGAGCGGGAAGATACTGGAGATGAGGAGGATGGGAGTCCCATCGGTGAGGGGTCGGGGAGGGACGTGCACATGCCTGTCAGCCCGTCCGGGCGAGGGGCTAGGGGCTGGTAAGGTGCAAAGGAGGGGGCTGTAACGGAAGGAGGAAGGGCGCACGCGCTGGGGAGGAATGGAAGGGGCTGTCCCAAATGGAGCCTTGAACGAGGAGTTCTCTTACTGGAACCATCAACCTCAAACTGGCCCCAAACCTTTCTGGAGAAGGCGGGGGTGGCGAGAATAAAGAGCTCTTTTGCGCAGTCGCAGAACAATAGGGGAAAGGGACAGTAGAGATGTTGCAGATTGTGATGACTGGGATGACAGTTTGTATCCAGACTGACTGAAGAGGTGCAGGTGCAGCTTTCTCTGAACTAGTCCTCTGGCCAAGGGGAAGGAGAAGAGAATTGACTGGCCAGCAGTTGAGGGATTGGTTTATGTCTGGAGACACTTGGATTGTTTTGGATAGCGACGGTACGGTGAGGAAAAGAAAAAGTTTTGTCTTTTCCTGCATTATCCCCTTTGATTGAATATCTACTCTTTGCAAACCCGAAACAGCTTTGCAGAAAAAAGCGCAGGTAGATGGGGTGAGAACTCCTAAGACTGCTGAAAATATACCTGACTTTACTGGTTGAATTAAGAAATGAGTAATAGAAGAAAAACACCTAAGAACAGAATCATCAGTCCCTTAATCCATTCTGATGACCGTATTTTCATGTCTGCTCTTAGGACCACCCAGCCTTCTGGGCCCTCCCCCCATGGCCAATGGAAAACCTGGTGACCCTAAGTCAGGTGAGGAGGAAGGGGCCCTGATCCTTGTATTAGGTCGTGGAGAAGAGAGCAAGGGAGGGGATAAAACCCAGAAAGGACTTAAAAATCAAAAGATCAGGGATTCCATACCTAAATGAATGGAGAAAAGTTGTATATTTGCTGATTGAAAAACTCGATGTTGTTAAAATGTCACTTCTTCCCAAACTGATGTATAGATTTCATGCATTCCAAGCCAGAATATCTACAGTGTTTTTGTAGAAATACACATTTTTATAGGGAAATGCAAAATATCAAGGTGAGAGACTGTCAAGATGATCTTGAAGTGGGAAGGCTTGCTATGAATATCAAGATTTGTAAGCTGGGCATGGTGTCACATGCCTATAGTCCTAGCTACTCAGGAGACTGAAGTGGGAGGATCGTTTGAGGCCAGCCTGGGCTACATAGTGAGACCCTGTCTCTAAAAACAAGAGAAAAAGACTATAAAGCTATAATAGTTACAACGATGCAGTTTGGACACAATTATAGACATAAGTCAACAGGACTTAGGTCCTGAAGACTCCAATAACAGACCCATACATGTGTGGACACTTCCTTTATGATGAAGATGGAACTGAAAAGTTGGTCTTTTCAATAAATGATACTGGATCACTTGGATATTCATGTAAAAAAATGGAATTTCACCTTGCACTCATAATCATATATAAAGATCTATTTCAAATGGACTGTAGATTTAAGTATAAAAGGTAAGAGAGGCCAGGTGCGGTGGCTCACACCTGTATTCCCAGCACTTTGGCGGGCCGAGGCGGGCAGATCACCTGAGGTTGGGAGTTTGAGACCAGCCCGACCAACATGGAGAAACCCTGTCTCTACTAAAAATACAAAATTAGCAGGGCATGGTGGCACATATTCCCAGCTACTCAGGAGGCTGAGGCAGGAGAATCACTTGAACCCGGGAGGCAGAGGTTGCAGTGAGCCAAGATTGCACCACTTGCACTCCAGCCTGGGCAACAAGAGCAAAACTCCATCTCTAAAAAAATTAATAAATAAAAGGTAAGAGAATAATTATTCTAGACAATAAATGGGCTGGGTGCAATAGCTCATGCCTGTAATCCTAGCACTTTGGGAGGCCGAGGTGGTGGATCACCTGAGGTCAGGAGTTCAAGACCAGCCTGGCCAACGTGGTGAAACCCCACCTTTTAAAAAAAAAAAAAAGAAAGTAAATGTATTTTCATGCTCTAAGAGTTCTTAAACAGACCAGAAATGCCCATATACATACTAACCATAAAGGAAAGATTGGTAAATTGAACTGTTAGAAAATATAAACTTGCTAAATGACACCATCAAGAAATTAACAGGAAACCATACAGTAGAAGATAATGGCAACAAATATAACCAATAGGCGGGGCGTGGTGGCTCACACCTGTAATCCAAGCACTTTGGAGGCCAAGATGGTCGGGAGTTCAAGACCAGCCTGACCAACATGGTGAAACCCCGTCTTTTTAAAAAAAAAAATACATATATATATATATAACCAATAAAGAGCCTGTATCTATAATACATAAATAACCTTTCCAGACAAGCTATTTGAAAAACTGACAAAAGACCAGAACAGTTACCTTATTAAAATGCAGATATAAACTAATGATCTAAATGAATAAGCATCAACATCATTAATAAATGCAAGACAAAAATATACCACTTTGAAATTAGAACTCTTGGCCAGGTGTGGTGGCTCACACCTGTAATCCCAACACTTTGGGAGGCTAAGAAAGGTGGATCACCTGAGGTCAGGAGTTTGAGACCAGCCTGGCTAACACAGTGAAACCCTGTCTCTGCTGGAAATACAAAAATTAGCCTTGAACCCAGGAGACAAAGGTTTTTTTTTGTTGTTGTTGTTGTTGTTTTATTTATTTTATATTTTTATTTATCCCTGTAATCCCAGCTACTTGTGGGGCTGAGGTAGGAGAATCACTTGAACCCAGGAGGTAGAGGTTGCAGGAGGTGGAGATCATGCCATTGCACTCCAGCCCGGGCAACAAGAGTGAAACGCTGTCTCAAAAAAAAAAAAAAAAGAAAGAAAGAAATTAGAACTCTGTGTACTGCTGCTGAGATTATAAAATGGTAAACCTACTATAGAAAACAATATGAAGATGTTCCTCTAAAACAATTAAAAATAGAACTACTCAGAACTCCTGCTTCTGGATATATATCCAAAAAAAAATGGAAAACAGGGTCTTGAGATTTGCAGACTCATGTTCATAGCAGCAACCCACATATCCAATGATGAAAAAAAAATGTGGTGTGTACATACAATGGAATATTATTCAGCCTTATGATGGAAGAAAATGCTGTCATATACTACAACATGGATGAACTTTGAGGACTTTATGTTAAGTAAAGACATAGTGTATGATTCCACTTATGTGAGGAGTCTGAAGTCAAATTCAGGGGCCAGGCATGGTGGTTCATGCCTGTAATCCCAGCACTTTGAGAGAGCGAGGCAGGCGGATCACTGAAGGTCAGGAGTTTGAGAGCAACCTGGCCAACATGGGGAAACCCCATCTCTACTAAATACAAAAATTAGCCCAGCATGGTGGTACACGCCTGTAATCCCAGCTACTCAGGTGGCTGAGGCACAAGAATTGCTTAAACCTGGGAAGTGGAGGTTGCAGTGAGCCGAGATAACACCTCTGCACTCCAGCCTGGGCAGCAGAGCAAGACTTTGTCTCAAAAAAAATTATAAAAATAAAGTCAAATTCAAAGAAACAGAATGGTGGTTACTAGAGGCTGGGGGAAGGAAGATGGAAGAAGGGGAGTTTTGTTTAATGGGAACAGTTTCATTCAGTTTTGCAAGATAAAAAACTTTTGGAGATCTGTTTCACAACAATATGAATATATGTAACTACTGAACTATATATACACTTAAAGACAGGTAAGATGGTAAATTTTATGTGTTTTTTAGCACAATAAAAAGCAAACAAGATGAGACATGATGACTCATACCTATAATCCTAGCACTTTGGGAGACCAAGGTGGGAGGATCATTTGAGCCCAGGAGTTCAAGACCAGCCTGGGCAATGTGGCAAGACCCAATCTCTCATTTAAAAAATTAAAACACCACTTTTCACACTCACCAGAATGGTAAAAATTAAAAAACAATACCAAGTGCTGTCAAGGCTAAAGGACAACTGCTGGTGAGAGTGCAAATTGGTACAACCACTACGGAAAAAAGTTTGGGCTCATGCCTGTAATCCTAGCACTTTGTGAGGCCGAGGTGGGTGGACTGCCTGAGCTCAGCAGTTTGAGACCAAGCCTGAGCAGCATGGCGAAACCCCGTCTCTACTAAAATACAAAAAGTTAGCTGGGTGTGGCAGTGTGCACCTGTAGTTCCAGCTACTCAGGAGGCCGAGGCAGGAGAATTGCTTGAACCCGGGAGGCAGGGGTTGCAGTGAGCCAAGATCATGCCACTGTACTCCAGCCTGGGCAACACAGTGAGACTCCATCTCCAAAAAGAAAGTTTGGCATTATGCATGAAACTTGAGCATAACGTACACTCTATGACCCAGCAATACCTCTACTGCATATATACTCAACAGAAATGCATACATATGTGTAACAACATGTATAAAAATGTTTATAGTGGAATTTCTCGTTATAGCCCCAAACTGGATACCACCCACAAGTCTATCTGCAGTAGAATGGATAAATAAGTTGTTGTGTATGCATGCAATGGGATACTACACTGCAGCGAAATGAATGAACTACTTCTACAGGCAACCTGGATGAATCACACAAACATGATGTTGAGCGAAAGGAGCCAGACATAAAAGAATGCAGACTGTATGATTCCATTTTTTGTGAAGTTCAAAAACAGGCAAAAACTAACCTATGCTGTCAGGATAGTGGTTACCTTTGGGGAGGAGGGTGGATAGTGGGAAAAGGGGCACAAGGGGAGGATCTACTGAGGTGCTAATAAGGCCTTATCATTTGGTGGCGGAAAGTCAAGTGTGTCTACTTTGTGATAATTGGGTTGTGCACTTAAAACTGGTGTGTGTTTATGTATGCTGTTCTTCAATAAAAAATTTTTTTAAAAATCAGGGCTTATTAGGATTAAGCTGCCCATTGGTCACCTTTTTTTTTTTTTCCTCTCTCCAGCTTTTCACAGAGGTCCTCCAGGATCAAGGGGACCATTGATTCCACCACTGCTGAGCCTCCCACCTCCTCCATGGGGTAGAGGCCCAATTCGGGGAGGCCTTGGCCCCAGGTCTAGCCCATATGGTCGTGGTTGGTGGGGAGTCAATGCTGAACCTCCTTTTCCGGGGCCAGGCCATGGGGGTCCCACCAGGGGAAGCTTTCACAAAGAACAGAGAAACCCTCGAAGGCTCAAAAGCTGGTCTCTTATCAAGAATACCTGCCCGCCCAAGGATGACCCCCAGGTTATGGAAGGTGAGGTCCATTTTGTTATGCCCCTTACTCCCAGAGTGACAGAACATTCATGATCATCTCTGGGCTTTCCTTGTTTGCTTTTGAAGCAGAAATAGACCTGAATGTTATTTCTCCCAGAGGAAAGACTACCATTTCAAAATACCTGGAAATGGTAGGGGTAGGAAATCTGTCCTCCTTTTGTCTCTGCTTTTCATTATATTTGTTTTCTTTCTTGCTCAAATTTTTAAATGTTCAATTTTCACTTGTTCACAGACAAATCTGACCGCCCTGTCTGCCGACATTTTGCCAAAAAGGGCCACTGTCGATATGAGGACCTCTGTGCCTTCTACCACCCAGGCGTCAATGGACCTCCCCTGTGAGACTGTGCCTTCCCATCCAGGCTGGAAGGAGCTCTCTGTGACCTAGTGGCAATGCATTTCCCTGTAGCCCTGTGATGGCTACTGTGAGGCTCTTCCAACACCCTCAGTCAGTGACGCACCCACCCCATCCGCCACCTCCCCAATTTGGGGTCCACAGTTGTGTTGTGTCACTGGTGCGAGGTGTATGCGCTTTCTTCTGATCCAGCCTGTAGAGACTCACCTTCGGGACCCATCTTTGCTCCCTTCAGTTGCCTCCTGGATCTTCTTTCCCGTCATCAAATGACTGCTGAACAGGAAACTTCTTTGGTGCTGTTTCTTGTGCATCTCTCCACCTGCTCCCCAGTACTGCCCTCAATTCCTGAGAGCCCTGGAGTGGTTTCTTACCATTCCCTTCTTCTAGCTGCTTGTTTTGTTTTAAGTCATTTTTATGTGACAACTCCTACCCCCAATGTTGTCAGCTGCTTGTGAAACTGCCAGGTTGTCTAACCTGGGGTCAGGTTTTGGTGACTGGTGCAGAGTTACTTCCTACAAGGCCACTCTCCCTACTTTTGGATTTCATAGTTTCTGTCAGTAGCATGAGCCCCACCACTATGGTCTGTGATCACCGTGCTTTGTGGAACTGTGCATCCCCTTGTAGCCTTTTTCAGTGTCCATGGCATTTTTGTGACTTCCCAACACTAGAGTAAGTTTTTCTGCCAAAATGAGTGAGGCTCTTGGTGCCCTCTAGCCTTTCCCACCTCCCAACGTGGGAGAATTGTGAACTTTCCATCAAACTGCTTCCCTGGCCCTCCCCATTCTCCTGTTGGTTATTCTGGGTCTGACACAGGCCCTTGAGATGTCATGTAAAGCCTCCAGTGGCTTTATCCTACCTAGATCCCTTCTAGCCCATTTTAGTTAGACTGTCATTGTGAATGCACCAGTCATTTCATTTGAATTCTGTGAATCTCCACCTTGCCTATGTTTGGGTGGAAACTGGACAGTACTGTTGCCCTCTTCCAACCCCTCTTCCCCTACATCCTGGTACTGGTTGTTTTCTGTGAAAACAGCAGTGAACAGGTTCCGTTTTGAACTGACCCTGAGGAAGTGAGTCAGGAGCTGTACTGGCAAGAGGGAGGGGATGAGAGCTATTGGAGAACTGAGAATGAGGTTTTTTTTTCTTTTTAACATTTTTTTATATTAGTAATAAACGCAGTGGAAACCAGCATTTTCTTTAATCCCTGTGTTCTAGTCATCTCTGGAGATGCAGATGAAGCTGTTCTTACCTGGTGGAGTCAGCTCATTCTAGTTGAATGAGCTGACTAGAATGTTCATACATTCCCCATCAGTAGTTCATATACACTAGTGATGGGGAATGACACAATTTAAGGTTCTTTCAGGCTGAAAGAACCAATGGGGGTTCCATTAGCCTGTAGGCTTCAATCAGACCAAGCTGCCTTATGTTCAAGGGCAAAGTTTTGTAGGAAAAAGGAAAGGCCAGGTGTCCCTGGAGTTATTTTTAAACATTTTGCTTTATGGAGTTTTGTGTTTATGAAGTGGTTAATGATGGAGTCTTTCAGCAACAATTTGCAGAGTGTCTGTGGGCCAAGCAATATACTAAGCACTAGAGATAACTGACAGCCAAAGCCAATTTATTTAAAATGTACAGGGAAGACCAGTTTATCAAATAATCACAAATAGCATGTGAAGTTAAACCTGTCAAAAGTGGTGGGAAGAAGACAGGGTGAAAGGGAAGTGTGTAATAAAGGGAGTCAGGGAAGGGGATGCAGCTGAGACATGCTCCAAAGGAAAAACAGGAGGTTTTCGCTAAAAGACCAAGGGGAAGAGGAGCTAAGAAACCTAGGGACAGTGGGAGGTGACACAGAAGACCTCCAGACCACTCAGGGCCTTGGAGAACATGAAAATGTGGCTCTTTTCTTAGAATTGAAGGCTTTGGAGAATTCTAGACAGGTGAGTATCATGGCTTAGGTTGGCTTTTCAAAAAAATCAGCTTGTATGGAAAGGGCCAGCCTTGGACCTGGAAGTTAGTTAGAAGCTACTGGCTACTTCAGTAGTACAAGTGATGAAACAGACTTGGGTAGCAGAGGTGGAAAAAAGTGGGCATTTGAAAATTACTGGTCAAAACAAAGTATCAGATTTCACCACATAGTTCTGGCTTATGTAGCTGCCATTTAAAAAGAAAAGTATTGGGCCAGGAGCGGTGGCTCACAATTGTAATCCCAGCACTTTGAAAGGCCAAGGCGGGCAGGTCACGAGATCAGGTGTTCAAGACCTGATCAACAGGGTGAAACCCCTCAGGTCTCTATTAAAAATACAAAAATTAGCCAGGCATGGTGGCGCATACCTGTAATCACAGCTACTTGGGAGGCTGAGGCAGGAGAACCGCTTGAACCCAGGTGGCAGAGGTTGCAGTGAACTACGATCTCACCACTGCACTCCAGCCTGAGCGACATAGCGAGACTGTCTCAAAAAATATATATTGGCTAGGCACGGTAGCTCATGCCTATAACCCCAGCACTTTTGGGAGGCTGAGGCAGGAGGATTGCTTGAGCTCACAAGTTCAAGACCTGCTTGGGCAACAGCAAGATCGTCACAGTTTAAAGTGAAGATCTTGTCTCTACTAAAAATAAATTAGCCAGGAGCAGTGGCACACAGCTGTAGTCCCAGCTACTCAGGAGGCTGAGACGGGAGGATCACTTGAGCCCAGGAGGTCAAGGCTGCAGTGAGCCATGATCATGTCACTGTACTCTAGCCTGGGCAACAGAGTGAGACCCTGTCTCAAATAAATAAATAAAAATTGTGTGGCCGGGCACGGTGGCTCAAGCCTGTAATCCCAGCACTTTGGGAGGCCAAGGCTGGTGGATCACGAGGTCAACAGATCGAGACCATCCTGGTCAACATGGTGAAACCCCGTCTCTACTAAAAATACAAAAAATTAGCTGGGCATGGTGCTGCGTGCCTGTAATCCCAGCTACTCAGGAGGCTGAAGCAGGAGAATTGCCTGAACCCAGGAGGCGGAGGTTGCAGTGAGCCGAGATCGCGCCATTGCACTCCAGCCTGGGTAACGAGCGAAACTCCGTCTCAAAAAAAAAAAAAAAAAAAAAAAAAATGTACAAATGTCCCATTAGAAAATAGGCAGAATGCCGCTAATTAGCTTTTGGCATGGTTGAGTCTGAGATGCCTTTTAAGACATTCAAGCAGAGATATAAAGTAGGTAGTTGCATATACAGATTTTGGTGTTGAGATTAGAACTAGAGACAAATCTGAGTTATCTGTATATAAGTGCCAGTTGAGGCCATGAGCATGGATGTATTTGTTCACTCTAAGTGTTAAGTACCTGCAATGTCCCCGTTCATCAGGTTTAGGTTCACTTGTAATAGAAACCCCAAATTAGTCTTAAGATAGAAGTTTATTTCTCTCACAGGTCAAGAGGTAGACAATCCAAGATATGTGACAATGCCACCACTACAAGATCCCTGAGTATTCAGAACCTCAACCCCCAGGTTCTAGATTCACAATCACAAACTTCTATTCACAGGTTAAAGTGAAGATCTAGCTTCCTCGTCCATATTCAAACCCTTAGGATGAAAGAAGGGCCAAGAATACCAGTTGTCTGGGAAGAAACTTCTTCAAAATTAACTTACAGCTCTTCAACTTACAGGCAAGCATTTAAGTTGAGTTTATTAATTCTACAGAGGTTATCTCCCTAAAAGAGGGCTTCTAGGAATGACAGGATTAGGGTTTGTGTTCGTTGATTTCAAAAGAAGCAGGAAATTGTTCTGGCTTAGATGCTGTCAGAAAGCAGGGGAAATTCTATGATTACATCTTAATCTTACCTAGAAGGAGGGAGAAATGAAATATGGCTAAAGATGTAAGGCAAAAAAACCAACACATTTTAGCTGAGAGAGAACTGTTTGGTGGCTCATGCCTGTAATCGCAACACTCTGGGAGGCCAAGGTGGGCAGATCACCTGAGGTCAGGAGTTGAAGACCATCCTGGCCAACATGGTGAAACCCCATTTCTACAAAGTAAAAAATTAGCTGGGCATGGTGGCGTGCACTATAATCCTAGCTACTTGGGAGGCTGAGGAAGGAGAATCGCTTGAACCCAGGAGGCAGAGGTTGCAGTGAGCTAATATTGTGCAGTTCACTCCAGCCCGGGCGACAGAATGAGACTCCATCTCCAGGAAAAAAAAAAAGACATGTGGCTAGGATAGACCTCTCAGGAATCTGGGAATCTGTAGATGAAAGGCCCAGGACTTAGCCTTGAGGAACTCTGATGTTGAATGGCTGAGTGAAGAAGGACAAGGATAAGCCAGACAAGGAAACCAAGGAATGATGACGGAGAGGCAGGGAGAGATCTCAGAGTAGGGCACTGCCTGGCTGCTTCCTCTGTGTCAGGCACCATGCTAAGCTCTTTATAGGCACTATCTTATTTAAGCTTCACATACTTTTTTTTTTTAATAATCTTTATTCTTTTCTTTTTTTTTTTTTTTTTTTTCCTGAGATGGAGTTTCGCTCCTGTTGCCCAGGCTGGAGTACAATGGCTCACCGTGTAACCTCCACCTCCCAGGTTCAAGTGATTCTCCTGCCTCAGCCTCCTGAGTACCTGGGATTACAGGCATGCGCCACCATGCCCAACTAATTTTGTATTTTTAGTAGAGATGGGGTTTCACCATGTTGGTCAAGCTGGTCTCGAACTCCTGACCTCAGGTGATCCACCCACCTGGGCCTCCCGAAGTGCTGGGATTACAGGCATGAGCTACCGCGCCCAGCCCATACTTTCTTTTTTTTGTTGGGGGATTCAAGCGATTCTTCTGCCTCAGCCTCCCAAGTAGCTAGAATTATAGGTGCCCACCAACATACTCAACTAATTTTTTTGTATTTTTAGTAGAGATGGGGTTTCACTGTGTTGGCCAGACCAGTCTCAAACTTCTGACCTCAGGTGATCCACCTGCCTCGGCCTCCCAAAATGGTAGGATTACAGGCCAAAGTGCTGGGATTATAGATGTGAGCCACTGCACCCAGTCAAGCTTCGCATACTTTCAATGAACACTTTAGTGCCTACTGTAGGGCAAGCACTATATTAGGAACTGGAGATACATCGATAAAAAGGTCAAAATCCCTGCCCATACGGAGCTTACACTGTTTTGAGAGTGATAGACAATATACATATATAATGTAATTTTAAGTAATAGTAAGTGAAAGAAGTGGTTAAATAGTGACAGGTGGAAGAGAACAGGTTGATACAAAGAGAGGGCTTCTTTGAGGAGGTAACAGACAGAAACCTAATTAAAGAAGGGAACAAACCATATGAACGCACAGAAGAAGTGCATTCCAGGCATGGGGAACAGCAAGGGCAAAGGCCCTGATGTAGGAATGACTCTGGGGTGTTTGAAGTGAAAAAAGAAGGCTAGGCCAGGCATGATGGCTCATGACTGCAATCCCAGCACTTTGGGAGGCTGAGGCAGGAGCATCACTTGAGCCCAGGAGTTCACGACCAGCCTAGGCAACATGGTCAGACCCTGTCTTTGTAAAAATTTTTAAAAAGTAGCCAGGCCTGGTGGTGTATACCTGTACTCCTAGCTAGTTAGAGGCTGAGAAGGGAGGCTCCTTTGAGGTTATAGTGAGCTATGATTACATCACTGCACTCCAGCTTGGATGACAGAGCAAGATCCTGGCTCAAAAAAAAAAAAAAAGAGGTCATACTGTACAGAGCCCTATAAACTACAGTAAAGCATTTGGATTTTATTTTGGATTTTATACTTTTTTATACTATTATACTATTATAAAAAAAGTATACTTTGAACAAACAAATTTACATTTTAAAACTATCTCTGACTGTAGGTGTGAAGGATAGACTAGAAAATGAGAATGACAGCGGCAGACCAGTTAGGAGACCAGTGTAGTGGTCTGGGGAGAAAAGACGATGGCTTGGTCTGGGGTAGAGGAGGGAAGCGGTCAAATTTGGATTATGTTTTAGTCTCAGTTGATGGCAATTCCATCTTTCTAGTTAACTCAGGCCAGAAACATTGGAGTCATCCTTAATTCGACTTGTCAAATATGACCCCAATCCATTAACAAAACTTGTTGGCTCTTTTCCAAAATATATTCAAAAACCAGCCCTTTCCACATCTCCACTGCTGTCACCCTAGTCTGAGTCACCATCACCTCCTAAGAGCTCCCTGCTTCTGTCATATCTGCCCACTTCCTGCTGC